ACTCCCATATATGGACTATACGGGGATGATCTGCTAAACAGGGTATGGTTTTTCGAGCTTCTTGTCATAAACAGCGTATGCAATTTCACTCAAGTTCCAAATTTTTTCCTAAGTTTCATGTCATATTCAGGGTTCTACTTTCGTATTGACCAAAACTGGTTATTATGGTCTTCAAAAAGCGATACACGAGATGACATGATAATTGAAACAGGAACTCAGTGCAATCAATTATACCTTTTGTCATAAACAGGGTCTACAAATTTGGGTACCCAAAGCAGGATACCCCTTTCAGAATCCCAGCGGAACACCCCTACCCAAATCCTGCCGGAGTACCCCCTCMCCCCCCTCGGGCACCCCAGACACAAATCGAGTCGTGTAGCTTGCAGTACATGTAGACTACTGTCAATCATTCATGTTGACGCCATTTATACACGTTTGGATCAGTGAGTTGGCTTTTCTATCAAACTGTCAATCATTCATGTTGACGCCATTTATCAGGTTTGGATCAGTGAGTTGGCTTTTTTGTCAAACTTTCTCAATCAGATATCACGAAGGAAAGTTCCGAAAGCGATTGCAAAGAGTTTGAGTACATCCAAGTAGAATGAGGTGTTTGATTGACGGCAGTCTATTGCAAACTACACGACGCGATTTGTGTCTGGGGTGGCCACGCAGTAATGGAAACGACGGTAATGTGGTCTACTTCTAGACTTAATTAAGTGTACCTGATATTGTGGTCGGCCAACAACAGATGGGAAAACAACTCGAGGTTTTTCGTCGGTAGAAAATCCTGCTTTGCATAACCCGGATCCGTTGTCAATAACAACCACTTTCCCGCCACTGCGTTCCTGAATGTGAAAGTAAAAAATCATCTAATTTCATCCTTCTGAAGCCCCTACCCCTCCCCCCGCACATAGTCCTACGGTCAAGAGACCCTGGCTGTGCAGGCCTATTTCAAAAATTGAGGAAAGAATTTTAAGTACAAAAACCAATATGTTTAAATTTTTATCTCTTCTTTCCTTTGGGGGTGGTGGGGGGAGGGGTGGGGGGAGTTATAGCTATTATAGTTTTTATACAGCCAATCAGACGACGAAATCAGCTGTATCCGACGCGCCGTCAGTGGAGTTGCGTTGAACAAAAGGCACGGGGGCTCCGAGGGTACGAATACACCCGGTAAAGTTTATTTCTTTTGCAACACATCTATCCTTACGTAACAATATAAAAATAYTTACTTACGAAAGCAGCAAGATGCTCTGTTGAAGGCGTAGACATCGGAGACAAAGGTGCGGCACGGGTTTGATGTCCAGCGGTGGCATATTGAGCATGCGTAGACTCACCATTAGTGTGTCGAGCCCTGACATGACTAAGCGGTAAAGATGACGGAGATTCTTCTTCTATACTGCTTGAACAAGAATTTTTTTCACGAATTGTCCCGACTTCTTCGTCGCTTTCTTCGCTGTCACTGTCACCAACAAGATCAAGCAAATCGTCTTCTTCAATTTGAGTTGTTGACGACTTAGGAGGCAAGCCATCTTTCGTAGCATCAAAGGGAATGTCTTTCATATTGGTTGGAGCACTCGACGGCATTTTATCATTTGATACAAGGGTTTCTTCACTCTTGTTTTGGCAGCCATCTGAAACCTCTCTAATAGAATTCCCACTAACATTAACATCAATCTTATCCGCCTTTATTGTTGTTATTTCAGTTTCATACTTTTTCTCCTGTTTACTTTCTTCATTGTCATCATCACCATTGTCTGTCTCATCAAAAGACATCTCTTTCAGAGTCGGTAAGTTAGACTTTTTTTCAGCTTTCAACATTTGTTCAAGGAGTTCAAACTCTTCCATTGAAGCGCTTTTATTATCAATACTATCATCCCCTTCCTCATCGTAGGTACTTTTTGCAAGAGCTCTCTTTTCAACACTCTCGTCACCTTCCTCATCGTAGGTACTGTTTGCAAGAGCTCCCTCTTCATCACTGTCACCCCCTTTCTCATCGTAGGTACTTTTTGCAAGAGCTCTCTTTTCAACACTGTCGTCACATTCCTCATTGTAGGCACTGTTTGCAAGAGCTCCCTCTTCATCACTGTCACCCCCTTCCTCATCGTAGGTACTGTTTGCAAGAGCTCTCTTTTCATCACTGTCCTCACCTTTCTCATTGTAGGCATTATTTGCAAGAGCTCCCTCTTCATCACTGCCCTCGCCTTCCTCGTTGTGGGTACCGTTTTCAAGAGCTCTCTTTTCATCACTGTCCTTACCTTCCTCATTGTAGGCACTGTTTGCAAGAGCTCCCTCTTCCTTACAGGAAAGGGTTGTAAATTCTTGTGTTTTTCTCGACTCTTTTGTACTCTTTTCTCTATTAAATTCAGGCGGTTTATCTTCATCTAAGTTGCTTCCACTAGAGCTAAACCTTTCTATTTCTTCTGAACTATCCGACATAGGAGCATCCTTATATTGCAGAGAGTCTGATTCGTCTTGTTGGTTTCCTTTTATCAAGTCAATAAGCTCTTGTTCCGTAGATTTGAGACTTTCCTCGCTTATGAAGTCAGTTTGATCAATGTCAATATCCTGGATACTACCGACTGATGATGAACTAGTATTAGGACTTTGATCTTGTTTGGATTTGGAGCCAGTCTCCTTTTCCTTTTGGGGTACCCCAGGTCCGGGGTGTGTGGTCCTAGGTGTGGGTGTTGGCTTCAGCTGGTTTTCGTCAATTGTTTCGGTATTGGTACGAGACTTGAAATACTGCATTCGTTTCTCTCGTATCTCTTCTGTATTTCCCTTCGATTGCTATGAGTCAGTCAAAAAGAATTCTGAATGATTAGCTATACAAGTAAAAAGTAAAACAAATGTGTAGGGAGACGATTGGTGTGCACTGTTGATGCCGAGATCATGGGTGCGGTTCCCAGACTCGCCGTCATATATGTACAATAGACTACAAAAGGGGGCCATCTTGCATCGAAGGAATCATTGGGTGTCCAGGGGGCAAACAAAGCTTTGTTGCAATAATCATTTCGCAGCTCACCACAAGAGAATATAACRAAAGATGAATTAAGACGGCACATTGATCACCTTTCCCATAAAAGAAAGACAATTATACGAAACTCTCTATATTTTACGCCATCTTTGTTTTGTTTTGCCCATTGGCAAGATGCTTGTTGGTTCCCTYCTGTGCTTCAAAAGTCTTTCTCCGGGATCTCCAGTTTTCCTCCTTACATAAAAATCATATTCCAATTCGATCATGGAACAAGAACCTCAGGTTTTTTAGCCACTGGCAATTAAGTGCAACCCTCGTAAAACAAGGACGACTTTGTATTAATTTATGGACTCAAGTAACGAAACCTAAAGGTAAGAGAGTATCTTGCAATATTCCCAATAATTTATTTACATACACCGTTCTTATAATGGCTGAAAAGTGCACAAAAACAAGGTCACCCAGTCATTAGTTCACGATAACAGATTAAAAAGCGCATAAAAAATAAATGCGTTTATAGAAGAAAAGTAGAGAAAAGTAGAAAGAAAATAAGAAAAGTATAGGAAAGTATAGAAATTGTTTTGCCCTGAATTCGCGCTATCCACCTTTATTTTGTATGGGCAGCCTTGCTCAGCCTTGCAAAATGACCTCGGGTGACCTCGATTTCGTGGGCTCGTCAGCCATTATGAGAACGGTGCATAGTGTTTAATACCTTTGGAGTCATTTCCTGTTGCCTTTCTTCAGCCTGTTTAGCTTTAGCAGCAAGATTCTCACGTACGCGTTGTTGACGCTCTTGTTCCCTCTCCTTTTGCTTCTTCAGCCAATCACGTTGCTTCTCCTCTTCTTCCTGGATTCGTCTTTGTTCTTCTTTGTATTTCTGTCGTTCTTGTTCCAAGACATCCTGAAGTTCTTTCTGCTCCCGGTCAAACACTTCCTGAAGAAGCTTTACCTCATGATCATCGAAGCTTGGTTGTTTGGGCTTCGAAACTGTTGGATTTTCCTTGGTCTGGCAGGCACAGAAATAAATAAATAAATAAATAAAAAAACAGTTGTATTTTGATTTTATAGAACAAGAGGTATTTCAATTTTTTAAGTAGTAAGGGAGGGAGGGATGGAGGGAKGGAGGGAGGGAKGGAGGGATGGAGTGAGGGATGGATGGATGAATGGACTGAATAAGATGAAATGGATGGTTTACCTGCCGCCTTGGAAGAGGCTGAGGCAGCTTTCTATCTTGATTAAGCTCCTTCAAGTCAAAGGCATTTGGTTCTTTTGTCTTCTTCTCCTTCAAACCGGAAGTAGTACGTTCTCTGGGTAACGGCACAGGTTTATTGGGTGGTTGAGCTTCAGGTTTAACACTGTTCCTACTCAACCCTTCTAGGGAATTCTTTTGATCCAAGTTGCCTTTTCCATTCTTTTCAGTATTTTTTCCTGCATTTGGAGTCTGTTCAGTAGCGTTACTTTCCTGATGTAACGCAATCCCTCTTATTATGTCACTCGTTTCAAATGCAGTTTGCGTTTGTTTGTCACTCTGATATACTTCTTTTGATGGCATTCTATTGTCTGCTCTCCGCTGAGCATTGACATCGCGAGCATTAGATGTCCCTAGCGTAGTGCCAGTCCTTTGTCGCTCATCATTGCTCGGTCGCACAGCTATTCGAGGGTCGCTTATCATCTGACCAATAAGRGAAGCGTCCACATCATTATTCACTGGCAAAGAAGGCAAAACCTGACTGACTGGTATTCCAATATTGTGACAACCCAGCAGGCCGTGCAAACTCCCCGACAATTCACCAGCATCAAAACCACTTCCATTATGGTAACCTGTAGATTCCGGTGTCGCATGAGCGTAAGAGTACGTTCTATTAGTCTCCTGAACCAAATAATCTTGAGCTTGTCTTGAATCCAGTTCTCGATTCTTCAGCAACTGCGCCATCTCAGGCGATAGGCAGACCAGAAAACCAACCAGCTCTTTCTCTAGCCTGTTTAATTCTTCATGAGCGTGGAAATACCGTAATTCAACATCCCGTCTTGTCCCTAGTTCGAGTATCTGTTCCAGTGCCTGCCGGTGAAGGTGAATCTGTTCTTTCCAGTAGCGTTCTTGGTTGCGTAATTCACTATAATGTCTTATTATTTCCTCTGCTGTCATTAACGATACCACACTTTGGTCATACTGAGGTGACGTCGACGAAAGAAGGATTTTGATTGGTCGTKCCTTAGGTAAATAAGTCACTAAACTAGGTAGATACCCATTCATATCCACCGGATGGTCGACGGACAATTCCTCATATCCTGAAGTATTTTCTAATCCCATCGAGACGGGGGCAATATTTGTTCTTCCTCCGCCCCCTTGGGGCACATTTGTCATCCTTTTTCGGGTAGTTTGCGGGGCTTCATCTAGCAACCCCGCTACTTCTCTGTCAACCGAATCGTCTGAAAACAATTCTCCTCTTAACATAACCCTTTGATTAACTGAATGTCTCGACTTATCATCAAAATGGTGATGCTTTTTCCCAGATGGTCCAGCATAGAAGAGTTTCGTAGTACCATTTGGACTATTGTCCATTTGGGGAATAAAATACTCGTTGCTATTGGTACTTTTGTTAGCCGAAACCTTAACACTCCTGTGATCAAAAGGTCCATTACTTGCAGGACCAACACCACGAACATCTTTAGGCTGACGAAGAGGAGTACAATAATCTTCCTTGAAGCTGACACTTTTGAACTGAGGTGAAGAATAAACAAATGAAGATGAATCGAGGGGTGATTCTTCCCTCGAGTAGTGTTCTCCGATCCTAGCATGTTGAGGCGGGTCATTATACTTGACGTACTCCAACGGCGACCCCAATATGTCCCTTCTGTCTTCCAATTCTCTTAACTCATTTTCTAGCTTCCTTTGCTCTTCTATCAAACGAGATGCTTCGTTACTTGGTTCCAACTTGACGCGCCGTGGGAAACACAGTTCATGCGATGAGTTTGATGAAGTGTCTTCGTCATATGCACATTGCCGCACAGGAGGAGCTTTACCGTTTCTTGTCATTTGGTGACTAGACTCCCCAACCACTCCCCCTGAGTCGCCATGTAGTTGCCTTCTCTTGAAGCCAGTAGGAATCCCCTGAGGTGCTTTATCTTCTGATAAATATCTACCGTTAAAGGAAGTGCTGTCAATCTTCATCGGTCTTTTTTCGTCTTTTTTCCTGAAACAGTCAACGCAATTTAATGCGTAAGTATGCGCCCCCTTGATCTTCGCTGTRCAATGCCAAGACCAGCATAGCAGAACAAACTAATAGTACTATCAAATATCAAACCATTGTACAAACCATATAATAATAGCACACCACATGCAGCAAAGAAATATTAAATACAGCAAAGCTTAGCACCGTAAGCCACATAGCAAAAGCAAAACGTACATGGGACGTCACGGCAAACTAGCAGTACTACATAGCACAGCAAAACGTACATGGGACTTCAGGACAAGCTAGCAGTACTACATAGCACAGCAAAACGTACATGGGACGTCACGGCAAACTAGCAGTACTACATAACACAGCAAAACGTACATGGGACGTCAGGGCAAACCAGCATACAGTATAGTAATTTGAAGGAAACCAAAAAACAAAAAACTAAGCTATACCCGGGGGTAACTTCAATCGCAAATCTGTGATTTGGGGTCTCTCATCAGGATGATTATTTTCGGTTCATCATCTGACTTGTTATTTAGGTAAAAATTATTATACGCCCACCTTGACAAGGCTCAGGTACCTTTTAGGGGTCAATTTGTTTTACATTTTCGAAGAGAATTCCCCCCGTTGTATATAGTGGGAGTCCCAACCCTCCGGGCAAAATACAAAGAAAAGCAAAGAACAGCATAGCATACCAAACAAAGGTTACTAAATAATTAGTTTTACAGTCGTACCTCTGACTGTTCTGCAGGCTATGAACACCACTATCTCGTTCGTCAATATACGTATACTCAGAAAAATGGCTCTCAGGCGCGCGCAGATTTCGCGCCACTTCTTCACACTTCGCAGCCATCAATCTAGATTTATTACTGAGAAACATGTCACGTGTCCTATCCCCTAGGGATACCAGAACGTTGAGTTCGTCATCTGTGAGGGGAGGGTAATTATGAAGAAAGTTCGCAATGTTTTGTCGGTAACGTTTCAAGACACGCGGCGAAGATGGATAAGTGGGTTTAGAGTGAAGACGACAAGAATCTTTAAAAGAATTGTAGAGCTCTGATGCCTTGATGTACCATGTCTCAGCCTAGGAAAGAAAAGACTAATTTCAATGGCCAATTTTTTTTTTCTTTTTTTTTTTTGCAAACCACATTATTAGACATTTAGAGGATGAGATAAAGACCGGGTCAAGTTGGCATTGCAGCGTATCTTGGGAGGGACAGTTTCAGAGGACACCATCTTGGATATACAGTCGACTCTCCCGTAAGCGACCACCCTGGGGCCAAGAGAAAGTGGTCGCTTACGGGGGATGGTCACTTACGAGAGTGTTAACACAGGAAGCCCAAACAATGGAAATCCTAACACAGAATGCCTAAACAATTCATAATTTGTAACTCACGTGATACAACTACTGTATTAACGACTAAACTGCTTTAGTAAACTGTGCTATATGTTTACAGTACTATAATTGTCAATATTTCGTTGGGTTTTTAATACCCGATGACTCTATGTTCTTAAATTTTTCATCTTTAAAGGATCTGTCATTGACTGGCTCTTGGGTGGTCGCTTACGGGAGAGGAAAAACAATGAAAAATTCCAAAAATTTAACTCCAAAGGTGGTCGCGGTCGCTTACTAGAGTGGTCGCTTACGGAAGAGTTTTCTTACAGAGTTTATATGGAAAACAAAACAGGAAATTCAAAAATGGTCGCTTACGGGAGATGGTCGCTTACGAGAGTGGTCGTTCAAAGAGAGTCTACTGTATGTCACCTAAAACAATCCTACAATGCTGTGCTATGCCAACTCGATCTAGTCTTTTTCTAAACTAAACTACATTCTACCATATTTGCAGTCTCTAAAGAACTAAACCTTTACTTTATCCCCAACTTTACACTACCAAAAACGCACCTTGTCGAATACAGAAAAGAACCGAAACGTCTCCTCCAATTGCATGCGTCGTTCTTCCAATCTTTTGCTGAAGTCTGACAAAGTATTGACGAGTGACTGGGCTGTGGTCCTTAGCGAGCTCAGAGCCGATTGGCTAGCAATCGTTACGTCGCGGAAATCGCGCAGGAGTTCTTTTCCATCGAGTATTTTTTGCTAAAAACAACAACAAAAACATGACGGCGTTGGTTTGATGGAAAGAAGAAAAAAAGCGAAGGACGGGAGTGAGTAATTAAATATGGAGGGATAGATAAATGCATCGATGAAGGAAGGGAGACGAGGAAGTAAGAAACTTTAAGTAGAAAGATAAACATAAGACTTTTTAAACTAGCCCGTACAGAGCTTTTAATTTATGACGTATTTCCGGGTCCAAAAGCTCACAAAAAACGACTAAAATAAAGAAAAAAGTTCTCAACGATTTAGACTCCACCCCAAACAGTGAAAACTTTGTACAACAAATCCTGTCAACTCAAACCACGTGCGCGCGCAAGTAAAGCAGAGAAAGTTGATTTCTATGGTAACTTACGTCATTCTCCAATTTCAACGTCACAGATCATTAGCAATTACTAAATCTAAATATTCCAAATCGAAGCACATAGCATTTCAAGACTACTCGCAAATATTTAACMAGTTATATAAATCAAGACGTTAAAGAAAATTGAAACGTTTATATAAGTGAAGAATTTCTTATGGTAAGAAAAATCAACTTTTTATACTACGGCACTCTATAATTCATATTCCATAGAGAAAATAGAACCAGTAGCTTACACTAATCTTTCTTTCTTTTTTTACAGGCATTGCCTGATCGACTAAGGTCTACAAAGCAGAGGAGCCTTCAAAGAAAAGAAGATGATTCGTCCTGGATTCTCATCATCCTGGGATTTGTACTTCAAATCATTTTATATGTACCCAGACGTATC